TTCCTCCATCACTGGGGTAGTTGTGAACGATCTAATGTGGGGGTTGGGAAATGAACACAGGTCCTCTGGAAAAGAAGCATTCTAAATTTCTGAGTCATCACTCCAGGCCATAAGACAGATTTTTTTTGAGTTAGATGGGAAGGCGTATATCTGTAATTCTAGTACTTGGGAGATGGGAGCAGGAGAATCAGTAGTTTAAGGTCCTTTCTGGCTACACAGTGACATCAAGGCCAGCCTAAACTGTATGAGACTCTCTCAAAAGTTGTTTGTTTACCTCTTTAATCATTTATTTGGGGCTGGAGAGATGGCTCAGTGGTTAAGAGCATTGCCTGCTCTTCCAAAGGTCCTGAGTTCAATTCCCAGCATCCACATGGTGGCTTACAACCATCTGTAAAGAGGTCTGGCGCCCTCTTCTGGCCTTCAGGCATACAGACAGAATATTGTATACATAATAAATAAATAAATATAAAAAAATCATTTATTTGTTCATTAATTTAGAATGTTGATGCTTAAACCCAGGGCCTACTGCGTGCTAGGCAAGTGCCCTACCGCCAAGACATAGTCTCCCATCCATCTCCCTTAGTTTTTGGTGGCACACGCCTTTAATCCCAGCACTCAGGAGGCAGAGACAGGAGGATCTCTGTGAGTTCAAGGCCAGCCTGATCTACAGAGTGAGTTCTAGTACAGGCACCAAAGCTAAGAAAAACCCTGTCTCAAAAAACAAAAAAAAAAACAAAAAAAAAAAAACAAATAAATAAAACAAAAAAAAACCCAAAAACCAAAAAAACAACAACAACCCAAAAATTACTTTTTTTTTTTTTTTTGGTAAATTGGGAGAACAGTAGGTCTTAAGTGACAGTTATGAAAATGAAAAGGAAGATGGGTAGTCCTCCGTAGTCTTTCCCAGAATTCCAAGAAGAGTTGTTACCACAGAAGAAATGACAGAACTAGAAGACTACCATCTCATGGCCTTGAAGAAACAACTCAGGTTCCATAAGCGGGCTCTACAAGCAGCGGGTGAAGTATTGGTGTTCACAGGCAGCATGGAGAGCCGTCTCATGTGGCAGACACAGTGGGCCTTCTGCTGGAGAGACTCTCCAGTCTCCAGTCTGACATGGATGCCAAGTGTCTCCTGTACGGTGACATGCTACCTGACCTCATGTCACAGCGATTACCTGGCATCTTCTCCAGAATGCTTGGCACTAATCCCCCAGCCTTTACGCCTGACTTTTAGCAGACTGCTCGCTTTGTCCATCTACATTACTGTAATGAGATACTCGAGGCTTGGTAACTTATAAAGAAAAGTGGTTTATTTAGCTCATGGGTTAAAAGTCACAGTGCTGGCCCTGGCGAGAGCCCCGTTTGCTGTATAACATCATGGTGCAGAACATCACAGCGGCTACATTTGTTGGAGAGGGAGAGAGTCCACGGAGGGTCAAAAACAGTGAGGGAGAAGAACCAAATTTGCAGTTTTTGTTACAGCTCTGTCTGGAGAGAAGGAACTTGAGCCTTTGTTGTTGACACTATTGGTGGGAAGGAGGAACTGGAGCCTTTAGGGGTATGCCTAGTACAAGGAAGTTAAATCATCAGTGCTTGGCTTGAAAGAGATCTTGGGACTGACTGTAAGCCCTCCCTTCCATTCTGTTTCCCAGCCTGCAGCACACAGCTTCCCCCCTGCTGTGCCACCACAGGCCCTCTGTGAACTGAAATCTGAAATCTCTGAACCTGAGCCAAACTTAGCTTCTCCTTGGGCACTTTCTCGGTGGCTGAAGGCTGATGAGTACCCAGAATCCGAGGGAATGCCCCTAGCAACTTACATTTTAGGAATATGTTGTGAGTGAGCCCAAAGGACAGCTCAGGGAGTAGAGGCACTTGTCACCAAACCGGACAATCTGAGTTCAATTTTTGACACCCACGAGTAGGAAAGAACTGACTCCACGAATATGCTGTAACACTTGCATGTGCGTGTGTGTGTGCGTGCATGCGCACACATCACACACACACACACACACACACACACACACACGTAAAAACAATCCATAGGACGCTTGCGTGAGAGGGTGTAAGGTGTCTCCTGCTTAAAAAGGCAGGAGCTGCATGAGACAGGCTCTCTCCGTTGCTCTTCCTGTCCTGCCATGGTGAATTCATGTGTGGACCCGTTATGAAGGTCAGAATCTAAGTTCCATCCTGTCTCCCTCTGTTGGCTAAGGTCAAGCTCCCACTCCTACCTGATGTCCTCAGGAGAAACAGGAGGACAATATAAGGCTGGCCTTAGGGAAGTCGGGCTAAGAGGGAAGGACAGAGATGGCCTGAAGGACTGGCTTCCTGTAGGATGTGTGTGCTCCCTCCATCTCAGTACAGCCGCTGGGGTGCTAGAAAGAGGACAGGGAAAGGGGGGGGGGGTGACACCAAGCCACGGCAGGATGAGAGGATATGGAGAGGCCCCCATATGCTTCAGCTAGTGGCAGCTTCCCTTCTGCACCGGAGTTGGGAAACCAGGGGCCTGCTGACTCCCCAGGGAGGGGTCTCACCCAACTTCTGTCAGTCTCAGAGGTATCTGCTGCCCTCAGGGGTTCAGACTCCTAAAGCTAAGGACCCCTTCTGTGCCGGGTGTGACCCCGATAGCACCCTCCCTTGTCTCCTTTTGGTGTGGGTTGGTTTCTGGTGTTGGGACTGAACCCAGGGTTCAGACTTGAACTCTGTCACTATCTATCCTCAGCCGTTTGAGTTAGGGTCTTGATAAATTGCCCAGGCTGGCCTTGAACTTGTTCTGTAGCCAAGGCAGATCCTAAGGAGGGCATCAGATCTATGGGAGCAAGAGTTACAGGCGGTTGTGAGCTGCCCCACACAGGCACCAGGATCCAAGCTTGAATCCTGGCAAGAGCTGGACCTGCTAATTACTGAGCCGTGTCTTCATCCCTGGTCTTGAACTTTTGGTCCTCCGGCCTCAGTATCTTGAGTAAATGAGATTACAGGCCTGTACCACCAAACCCTACCAGGTCTCAGGCAGACCTTGAGTGGCCTCAAATTCAGTAATGTAGCCAGAAGGACCTTCAGCTTCTGATTCTCCAGTCTCTACTTCCCAGGGGGCGGGAACTGCAGTGTTCACTGCCATCCCGGCCCTTCTTTATGTATGTATCAGTTTATTTCTGTTGTCTTATTGTTTATTTATTCATTTACTTTTGCAGTGCTGGGGATTGAATCTAGGACATTATACACGCTCACCAAACGCTCTACCATGGAGCTACACTCAAACCCTCTGTTTGTAGTTCAGAAGTGGCAGCTACTCCATCACAAGAATGAAGCGATAAGGGCGGCGGCGCTGCGTTCCCAGCACCCCGGCCGCCTGCTTGGCTAGCTTATGCCCCGAAATAATTACACGGACACTGTATTCATTTAATTACTGCTTGGCCCATTCTCTTCTAGGCTAATTCTCACATATTAATTTAGCCCATTTTTAATCATCTGTGTGTAGCACCCCAAGGTGCGCTTACCGGGGAGATTCTAGCCTGTGTCCATCCTGGGTCTGAGCTTCATCCTGGGAGCGGGGCATGGCGTCTCTGCTGAGGCGTCTGCTCCAGAGAGCAGAGCTGTGGAGTCTCTGAGCTCACTTCCTCTTCCTCCCAGCGTTCTGTTCTGTTTACTCCTCCCACCTATCCTCTAACCAATAAAATGGGCCAGGGCAGTTCCTTTATTAGCCAATGACCTTCCTCCATCACAAGAAGGCATCAGCTGCTCTTTGGCCACATCTTATAGGAAGTGACACAATGCTGGTTTGCAGATAATCGATAGAATAACTAAATTTTTTTTTTTTTTTGGATTTTTCGAGATAGGGTTTCTCTATAGCTTTTGGTTCCTGTCCTGGAACTAGCTCTTGTAGACCAGGCTGGCCTCGAACTCACAGATATCCGCCTGCCTCTGCCTCCCGAGTGCTGGGATTAAAGGCGTGCGCCACCACCGCACGGCTAAATTTTTTTTTTTCTTTTTGAGACAGGGTTTCTCTATGTAGCCCTGGCTGTCCTGGAACTTGCTTTATAGACCAGGCTGCCTCCTGAGTGTTGTGATTAAAGGCGTGTGCCATCACCGCCCAGTGACAAGTTAATTTCAATACAGAACTGACTTCTGTGTGTAGGTAATTTGCTGTTTTAGGAACTCATGGTAAGCATCTCTTCCATCCCCGTGGTCAAACAGATCAGCAGGGGTGGAGCCGGTTCCATCTGCCTCCTGGTTCCTGACCATTTGGCAAGATGGACGATGGCATTTCTGGCTTTTAGCCAACAGCCCTGGCTCCCTGGGAAGACCTGGCTGTGACTGTCAAGAAGTACTGGCTTGCCGGGCGGTGGTGGCGCACGCCTTTAATCCCAGCACTCGGGAGGCAGAGGCAGGTGGATCTCTGTGAGTTCGAGACCAGCCTGGTCTACAAGAGCTAGTTCCAGGACAGGCTCCAAAACCACAGAGAAACCCTGTCTAGAAAAAAACCAAAAAAAAAAAAAAAAAAAAAGTACTGGCTTTTCTCCTTCCTTCCTTCCTTCCTTCTTTCCTTTATTTTTGTTTCTCAAGACAAAGTTTCTCTGTGGCTTTGGTTCCTGTCCTGGAACTTGCTTTATAGACCAGGCTGGCCTCGAACTCACAGAGATCCGCCTGCCTCTGCCTCCAGAGTGCTGGGATTAAAGGCGTGTGCCACCAGTCTGGCAACTCTGGTTTTTCATTACAGGCCTTCCCCCACCTGTTTCCAAATCTAGACTGTTCCGATATCTCTCTCCATATTCCCACTCTCTCCTTGCCATCACTGCTGTCTTTGTACAGCAGAGAAGAAAACTCCACTATAAAACATTTGGGGTGTTGGGGAGACAGAACCAGGATGGGGAATGTCCATCCTAAACCTCTTCCCCCAGGTCCTGAAGTTCTCATTTCTCAAGGAGTCCTTAAGGACATCGGCATCCCCTTGTCCTCAGAGTCTGTGCTGCCCATCCAGGCCAGGAGTAAGGCTCTGCCTGCAGTTCTGGCTGGAAACACTGGCGTCTGTGTACCCTGGCTTCTGTTCTGGCTTCCCACACGCATTTAGCAAGTACAACGGGTGTTCTCGTTGGGGCCCTGGGCCACAAAAATTGGGCTGGAATCCTGGGAAAGACCTTGCTGGGCACTCTCCCCATACAGGTGCAGGCTGTTGCGGGCAATTAACTCTTTGGCCATGAGGATGAAGACTTCGTCTATGTTCCTGGACTCCTTAGCGGACGTCTCCAAGACAGCCAGGAGGCCGTACTTCTCAGCCAGTGTGCAGGCGTCCTCGAACAGGACATGCCGCTTCTCCCACAGGTCCGATTTGTTTCCTACAGAGGAGGTGTGGAAAGATAACTAAGAACACAACCTGTCTATTGAAAATGAACTTTTTCCCTCCCTCCTTTCCTTTCTTCCCTTCTTTCTTGTTTGTTTGCTTATTTGTTTGTTTTTCAAGACCAGGTGTCCCAGAACTCACATTGTAGACCAGGCTGACCTCAAACTCACAGAGTTCCACCTGCCTCTGCCCCCCGAGGCTGGCATTAAAGGTGTGCACCACCACCACTTGGCCTGTCTTTTTTTTTTTTTTAAAGACTTATTTATTATGTATACAGGGTTCTTCCTGCTTGTATGCCTTCAGGCCAGAAGAGGGCACCAGATGGTTGTGAGCCACCATGTGGTTTGCTGGAACTTGAACTCAGGACCTCTGGAAGAGCAGCCAGTGCTCTTAACCACTGAGCCATCTCTCCAGCCCCGTCCAGCCCTATTTTTTTTAAATTAAAAAAAAAAAATTTCATTTATATGCTGGGCAGTGGTGGCACATGCCTTTAATCCCAGCACTTAGGGAGGCAGACAGACCTCTGTGAATTCAAGTCCAGCCTGGTCTACAGAGTGAGTTCCAGGGTAGCCAAAGTTACACAGAGAAACCCTGTCTTGAAAACCAAAACAAAACAAAAGAAAAAAAGTACATTTCTGTCTTGTGTTGGGAGTGTGGGACACTCACATGCCCCAGTATGTATGTGGAGGTCAGAAGACAACTTTCAAGAGTTGTTTCTCTTGGGGAATTGAACTTGGGTCTTAAGGCTTGGTGGCAAGTGCCTTTTTCACTTAGCCATCTTGCCCACCCCTTCTGCGTTCTTTGTTACAGGTCCTCATGTAGCCCAGGCTAGCCTGAACCTGGCAGCATAGTTACAGTCCAGAGATGGTGGCCCAGGCCTTGCTGAGGCTCTTTTTTTAAAAAAACATTTATTTATTTATTATGTATACAATATTCTGTTTGTGTGTATGCCTGCAAGCCAGAAGAGGGCACCAGATCTCATTACAGATGGTTGTGAGCCACCATGTGGTTGCTGGGAATTGAACTCAAGACCTTTGAAAGAGTAGGCAATGCTCTTACCCTCTGAGCCATCTCTCCAGCCCCTGAGGCTCTTATAGAGCACCAAATGTACCAGAATCTGGCAAATTCTGAACTCCTAAATTTTTTCCCTAGCATTCATGCCCAGCCCCTTCCTTTGATTGACAGCTTAAAAAGAAGAAAAATTCCAGCCGGGCGGTGGTGGTGCACACCTTTGCCTTTAATCCCAGCACTCGGGAGGCAGAGGCAGGTGGATCTCTGTGAGTTGGAGGCCAGCCTGGACTAAAAGAGCTAGTTCCATGACAGGCTCCAAAGCTACAGAGAAACCCTGTCTCAGAAAAAAAAACAAAACAAAAAAAACAAAAAACAAAAAAACTAAGAACCTTATAAGGCAGACATCAGTGTAACCTACCACAAGAAGAAGTTGCCTCCTCAAACGCTTTCACTTTTTTCTTTTTTTTTTTTTGAGATAAGGTCTCTGTGGACTTTGAACTCACTGACTCAGATAGCCAGTCTGGCCAATGAATTTCATGGTTCTCCCTGTTTCTGTTTCCCAGCACTGGGACCACAGATTTGGGCGATAGCCCCTGACTTTGACCTGGGAGCTAAGGATCTGAAGTCATGTCCTCAGGATCTTATAGCACGCACTTCACTGACCTAACCGTCTCTCCAGGCCCCCGCACATTCAATTTAATTCATCATCATCCAGAGACCTGGGATTACATGTAATTCCAGTGAACTTTAATGTACTTTTAAAAAAGTTTCACTTAGGAATTTCCACACCCATAAGTGTGGAATTGGCCAGTTGACATTCATTTGAGGGGATTTGGGGCTTTTTTGTTTGTTTATTTCTACACAGGATTTCCCTGTGTAACCCTTGCTGTTCTGGAACACCAGGCAGACCTTGCATTCAGAGACTGCCTGCCTCTGCCTCCTGAGTGTTGGATTAAAGGCGTGCGCTGGTAGATTTGGGGGTCTATTAAACCTCAAGCTCTTTTGTATTTTCTGTGTGATTGACACAACCTAGGTGCCTACAGATCGCTGACAAGTGTTTCATAGAGTTTACTCTGCTCATCCCCATGGTGAGAAGCTCTGGGGTGGGGGTGTGCAAGCTGTACCCTTTTTTTTTTTTTTTTTTTTTTTTTTTTTTAAGCTGTACCCTTTTTTTGTTTGTTTGTTTTGTTTTTGTTTTTTGAGACAGGGTTTCTCTGTAGCTTTGGAGCCTGTCCTGGAACACGCTTTAGACCAGCTGGCCTCGAACTCACAGAGATCCAACTGCCTCTGCCTCCCAAGTGCAAGGGTTAAAGGTGTGTGCCACCACTGCCCAGCCTGTAATCAGTCCGATGTTTATCTCACTTTGTGCTTTATTGTGCACATGGCATTGAGTTAATTATCGCCAGGAAAGTTTTCACCAAATGGTACTGTGCTTAAATATGCCTAAAATAAACTACCTGGGGTCAGACTCCTGAAGTTTGAACCCTCACCAGCCTTTTTGCCTCCTGGGGATCATGATTTTGCTGGCTGTGGTGGCCTCGCTCTCTGAGTTTTAGGATTTTATCCTGCACTACTGAGGAAAGCAAGCTGAGCGTGGGTAGAGGAGGGGCAAGCAAAGTTGACCGCCCTGGAAACGCCCTACCGATCAGCATGATGACCAAGTTAGCGGCGCCGTATTTTTCTATCTCGCGAATCCAGTGAGGGACAGACTCGAACGTGGATCGCCGCGTGAGGTCGTAGGCAATGATGGCGGCGTGGGCACTCCGGTAGTAGCTTTGAGTGATGGTGCGGAAGCGCTCCTGGCCTGCTGTGTCCCATACCTGCATCTGCAGGGCGGAAGAGATAACAGGAGGGTTAGCAACATGGACAGTCCTTCATTTAAGTCACCTTACAAATAGTTTCCTGTGGGCTGGCAAGATGGCTCAGTGGGTAAAGGTGCTGCCGCCAAGCCTGAGGACCTGAGTTCAGTCTCTGGGACCCACGTGGTGGAGGGAAAGGGCCAACTCTGGCAGGTTCTCCTCCACTTTCACATACACACAGTGGCAGGCGTGCCCACATAGGCACACACAGCAAATGAATAAAATACATTTTGAAAGAACGAATAAATTCCCACGTATTCAATGTATTCAGATTCAGTAGGGCCGGGAGGGGTCAAAATGTGCTGTCTGGTTTAGGGTCACCCTGAGGGGCTCTCCCACTGATGGGAGGATTACTTATTCCTGGGTCTTTTCTTTTGACTTTTGACCTCAGACATCCCTTGGCCTAGATTTTTGGGTTCATATTTTGAGTTCACGCATTGGGAGGAATCCTGGCAAAGGGGATGGTATAGGCTGAACTGCACTGGTTTTGAAGGACCACTCAGACTTTTCGCATCCAGTAGCATCCTTATCACAGTACTCCAGAATATCATCCCAAGCATGGACCACATCAGCGCCAACGTATACACCTTTCAATAGTGTCTATGTTTTTTTTTTAAATATTTATTTATTTATCATGTATACAATATTCTGTCTGTGTGTATGCCTGCAGGCCAGCAGAGAGCACCAGACCCCATTACAGATGGTTGTGAGCCACCATGGAGTTTCTGGGAATTGAACTCAGGACCTTTGGAAGAGCAGGCAATGCTCTTAACCTCTGAGCCATCTCTCCAGCCCAGTGTGTATGTTTTTAAAATCATTGTGTGTGTGTGTGTGTGTGCATGCGCCTGCGTGTGTGGGTGCCTGCAAGCATCACAGTCAGCAGGGAAATGACCCAGGTGAGGTACGAATGACTTAGTCAGCCAGTGCAGGGACAAATTTCTAGAGTCTGTCACTAGGTTGTTTATTTTAGCCATGTTTAAGCACAGCACAATTTTGGAAAAATGTTTTCTGATGTCAATTAACTGAGTCCTTTGTGTATAACAAAGCTTAAGACATGATTACATGAGACTTTCCAAAGTACAAATGGCTTCTTACATAAAGATGGGCTCCGTTGAACAGTGTTCACGATTTAAGGTCTAGGGAGAATGACTGAGACGGACATAATGCCTGTGGGAGCTAGGAGTGGCCTGGCCTAAGACATCAGAGAATTTGCCAGGTGGCGGTGGTGGCACACACCTTTAATTCCAGCACTTGGGGAACAGAGGCAGGCAAATCTCCTGGTCTGAGGCCAGCCTGGTCTACAGAGTGAGTTCTAGGACAGCAAAGGACTAACTACAAAGAGGAGCCCCATCTTTTAAGTCGCTTAGGCTGTTGTATAAAGTACAAGTGATGTCACTCATAAAGGATGGCTTTAATTAACTTAGAAGTGATGCTCAAGACTTAGGGGGAAGTTCTGGGATAAACAAAATATGAATTCTGGGGAATATGGGTGAAGCTGGCTCTACAGAGAGCAAAGTCTCGCCAGTTTGCAAACGGTAAACGTCTCTTTCCCTCAAGAGATAAGCCTACAAGCTGAACTTTTCCTGCTCTACAGTGCTTATCTGTGTGCACGAGGACATGTTGCCCTCTACACGTGTGTAGGTCAGAGCAGAGTCTCTCCTACCAAGTAGGGCCCAGGGAAGGAAATCAGGTCGTCAGACTTGGGGGTAAGCTGTCATGCTGGCTCTGACTGTATTCTTAAAAAATTTATGAAGCAAGTTTTGTCTGGTTTGTGGCCACTTTTTATATTTGTTCATTGGCCTTTTGTCTGTTTATTTTTGAGACAGGGTTGGCTGGCTGACCTTGAACTCACAGAGATCCAATTGCTTCTGCCTCCCATGTACGAGGATTAAAAGCATGCACTACCTAATTTAGTTCCTTTTTTTTATTTTATTAAAGATTTCTTTACTTACTATGTATACAGTGTTCTGCCTGCACACCAGAAGAGGGCGCCAGATCTCATTACAGATGGCTGTGAGCCACCATGTGGTTGCTGGGAATTGAACTCAGGACCTCTGGAAGAACAGCTCTTAACCTCTGAGCCATCTCTCCAGTCCCCAACTCTGTTTATTATTGAGGGTCCTTACTATCTATGTAGCTCAGCCTGACTTGGTACTCAAAATGTGGCCCAGGTGGCCTCAGTCATCTTGCCTTTGCCTTATGCTGGGATTATAGGTGTGTGCCATCGCACAGTTGCTGGTGCTTTTCTTAGACATTTATCAAAATTCTTGCTACACCAAAGAAGCTAGTCTTTTCTCATATTGCAAATATTTCCAATTTGTCTTTCCTCTTTTGACTGCTTATCATACTTTTGGTTTGTAGAAATTATGACCTTTAGGTGGCTTCTTAAACCTTATGTTAAGTGTTCACACCTTACTTAAAATGGGGGTTCTGGCTGAAACAATGGAGCTACCCCGGTGTCCCTCTGACCTTCACTTTCTTGCCGTCTATCTCGAGGGAGCGCACGGTGAAGTCCACCCCAATGGTGTTCTGCTGTGACTCGGTGTAGACCCCAGACTTGAAATGCTGAACCACACATGTCTTCCCCACGTTGGAATCGCCAATGAGGATGACCTTGAACAAGTAGTCCACGTTCTCATCTGCTGCTCGCATGGCTCTGGCTGAGCTCCTAGAACAGACCCAGGGAGGAAAGACAGCGTTCAGTTCCTGCACCAGGGATCCAGTAGAAGACAAGCTGGGGTAGCTGTGGCTTTCACAGGACAAACACTGCCATGGGCGAGGGATGCCAATGCCTGGTCAGGTGTAGGGAGTTGCCCCACAAGCCTACACCCCGGGTATAAGTGGTCACAGCTTCTGGAAGGCCCTCACACTGATAAGACCATTCTTCGATGGGAAAAGAGTGTAGTCAGCTTTACCAAGTTAGAGGCCTGAGGAAACCCCAGTTCTGAAGATGAGGTACTCAAAGAGCAGGGTAGTGGAGGGAATGCTTACAGGAGGAGCTCCCTGGCTGTCAGTCAGGTGGATGCCGTGCCCGCAGCCACTAGAAGCCTGGCTGCCCATCAACTCATGACAACTGACAAGATTTGCCTGGGAAGCCAGTTTAAGGAAGACTCACAGGTCTGTGAGCACACAGAAGAGGCCAGAGGTAGTGGGTCCCCTGAAACTGGAGTGATAGGCAGTTGGGAGGTTGAAGCGGATGTTGGTGCTTTTAGCCTTGGAACCATTTTGCCAGCACCCACGTGGCCTTTTTACTCTGGGTAGCACTCCATTTTTCTCAAACAGGAAATTAAATTTGGAGGATATTCAAAACTAAAACTTTAGTGAGACTGATATGGCGGGGCGGTGTGTGGGGGCACACAACTCTAATCCCAGTGCTCAGGAAGCAGAGGTGGGGGCACACACCTTTAATCCCGGTGCTCAGGAAGCAGAGGTAGGTAGATCTCTATGTGTTCAAGGCCAGCCTGGTCTACATAGCAAGTTCCAGGATAGCTAAGGTTATATAGTAAAACTTGGGGGTGGGGTTGGGGAGAACTCTATGGGAAATTCTAGTATGGAAAAGAAAATAACTTAAAGGTTTCTAATGTTGGTATTTGCCAAACTTAATGATTATCAGAATTAGCTGGAAGAGATAGTTAAAAATACATATTATTAGAACTTATGTCAGATCTACTACATCTATCCATCTATCCATCTATTCATCTATCTATCTATCTATCTATCTATCTATCTATCATCTATCCATCTATCTACCTACCTACCTATCTCTTTATATAGATACATATACATATATATTTAATTTATGGGGCTGGAGAGGTGACTCAGTAGTTAAGAACATTGGCTGATCTTCCAGAGAACCCAGGTTTGGTTTCTAGCACCCACATGATACCTCACAACCATCTGAGACTCCAGTTTCAGGGAACCCAATGCTGTCTTCTGTCCTCTATGGACACTGCATGCATGCGGAACAGAGACATATATGCAAACAAATCATCCATACACATAAGATAATAACAAATAACATTTAAAAACATTTATTTTTATTTTATGTGTTTATATAAAAAAAAAAAAAAGAAAGAAAGCCAGACACGGTGACATGTGCTTGTGAGCCTGTCTCTGAGGAGGTGGATCCAAAGGATCCCTGGGGCTCACTGCTCAGCCAATCTAGTCCACACAGTGAACTCTGGGCAAATGATGGGTCCTGTTTCCAAAACAGGATGGCGCTGAGGATGATACATGAGGTTGCCCTCCGGCTGCAACATGATGTGCACACACATGAACACACACAAAAACTAAAACAACAGGGGGCTGGAGAGATGGCTCAGAGGTTAAGAGCATTGCCTGCTCTTCCAAAGGTCCTGAATTCAATTCCCAGCAACCACATGGTGGCTCACAACCATCTGTAATGGGGTCTGGTGCCCTCTTCTGGCCTGCGGACACACACAGACAGAATATTGTATACATAATAAATAAATAAATATTTTAAAAATATTAAAACAACAGATACGCATGTACCTGTTCCCCGGGTGACTCTGATGAGATCTGAGGACCATTGGTCAATGCATCAATTACCTGGAACTACATTCCCACTTTTAACATCTCTGTTTCAACAGTCACCTGGGCTTAAATATCTTCAATCTCTAGGAACTGAACCGGGGCAGCTCTTCATTCTAGGAGCTGAAACCTAGCTCCCTGGGATTCCTATCTGTCAGTCTCCGGCTCCCCTTGCTCTGTAACATGCTGAGTTCCTAGTTCACATGACAACTCTGCAGACATTTGGAGCAGCAAGCATATGCCCGAAAGGACAGGTACCTAGGCATTTAAATCATCACACATTTGGTGAGGTCTGCTTACCAAATATGTCACGAGACCAAAATACCCAAAATACTTTGTTGATTGAACTTGAGGTTCAGTAAACTGCTCTTATCATAAGACACCCTCATTTCTCCTTGATTTGTTCTCTGGTTTTCTCTGATGCCTTAGGAAAGCTCAATTGAAAATGCATGCAAATGCTAGTGTCTATTTTGTCAGACAAATAAAAACACACAAATATCTAGTCTATGCTTTGGTAGAAACCAAAGGTTTTATAGAGGCAAGGAATGGTCTAGGAACTCTAGGTGCCCCTGAGATCACATAGGAGGAACGATCCTCTAGAGAAGAGATACAATCAAATCACTTTTTTTACTCTCCTGCGTCTTTTCAACTGAAGAAAACCATTCTACTTCCGGCATCTTACCACTGTAACTTGAGCTGAAACATTGTTCCCAAGTCCCGATTCTCTTCCTCCCCATCAAAGAGCCCCTGGGATTCCACAAAATCCCCCTACAAACCTTGCAAGGAGAAACCGGCGGCTCCTTCCAGACACCATTCCACATCCCTGCAACCTTCCCCTGCGTCCACCTGTTGTTTACCTGTCCCCTCTCTCACCTTGCTGGCTGGCGAGCAGGTTGTGTTTGCTTTTTCTCCTCGTTACCTTTGCAGCCCTCAGTGCCCTTCTTCCTCCTACCTTGCCGCGCGCGGTGGAAACTGTAGTTCCGGCCCCTGGCGTCAGGTTTGGTGGCTGGAGAAAGCGAAAGGGAAACAAGGGCAATCCCTCCCACCTGCAAGGAACCCGAAGCTCTCTGGCTGAGATGCTGGCTAGTGCACACAGCTAGCTTCCCTGCCAGAATTCATCAGACCAGGAGAAAACCCAGAGAAACTGCCTTCCCCGCAACTGACACCTGTTAAGCTTCCCTGTTCCTTTTTTGCTCTGCATCCTTCATCCTCCATCCTGCCCGATACACTTGCTTGTTTGGCTGGGCAGGGAGGCTGATAACCGAGATGACATCGAGTTAAAGGAGGATATTGATCTGGGTCTCGAGAAGTCACTGGAAGAAAGCAGGTGCTTGTGCAACAAGGGTCCATAAGATGTCTCATGTCTCAGTCGGTAAGGGTACCTGCTGACAAGCTTGAAGACCTGAGTTCTACCCCCAGGGCAAGTTGTTCTCTGAACACGCGTACGTGCGTGTGAAAGACCCCAGTGCTGGGCAGTCTTTCAGGCTGAGGAGACCCTCCCAAGGAGCAGCGAGTCACTCTTCGGATGCAAATAGCAAGAGGCTTTATTTAATACACAGGTACCTGGGGCGGCTTAGTCTCTCGGAAGACAAGCGCGCCTGCAGACTGGGGGAAGGTCTTTTTATAGGAAAGAGGGCAGCAGAAGCAGATTACAGAAGCAAATGCATCGTTAGTGGTCAGTTGGAATGGGGCCAGGGGCACAGGGGGTTTTTCCTTTCCCAGCACAGATGTATGGGAACAGACATCCTGTTAATTGATGTCCTGTCCTAATCTATGGATATAAAGATCCTGTTTTGCAGCCAGGGACCCTGACCTTACTCTGCACTTATAGTCGTACGTCAAAAGCTTTGTGAAATGACGTTACAGCAGATAAGCTGGGATCTTTCATAGGGGGAGTTGTCTCTTCTGTGAATTACTGATATTCTAAATTGGGCACGTATACTGACTATAGGCATCCTGTTTCCCTAAGCAACCGGGATGTTCTCATTAGAGCAGGCCAGCTGCGGGTTCCTTATCGCTTGGGGCCAGATGGCTGACCGGCTGACCGCGGATATCTTGCCTGGCTTCTCCACCCTTGCTTTCAAGTCGAACTTCCCTGCTCTAATTACTTGCGTTGCTCCAAAGTTTAAGCCTTGCAAAATGGCATTACTGCTGCTTAGTGAGTGGGGGTCTTTCATTCCCCCCTTTTTTTTTTTTTTTTGGATTTAATCATAAATTTATGTGTTCAAAGACCTCTACGTCATTCTGCTTTAATATCTGATATTGCTGGGAGAGTACCATGGTTTGGATAACTGAAAGTCTGTCTTTTATAAATTGCACCAGGCGATTTAAAATGTAAGGGCCGATTGTAAAGATAAGAAGTAAAATAAGTAGGGGCCCAGCTATAATGGAAATTAAGGCTTTTAACCATGGTGATTTATTAAACCATCCTTTAAAATATCCTTGTTGAGAAGATAGTAGAACATCTCTAGGGTTTGCAGAATAGCTCTTAGCAAAACTATCTGAATGAGGCTTGAAAGTAACTACATGGTAGACATTGTGAACCACTGTAGACCCGAGAATAGCACCCAACATTGTGCTGGCAATAATAGTCTATTGACTACAAAGAGCTTAACTCAGCCCTAAGAAACACATGGATGCCTTCTCCTAAGAGGCAAGTTTAGTATTATGAAGACAAATCTCTTTTGCTGTAGACACCGGGAGTGTTGTTCCTCAGCTCCAGAGAATGTGCCGGAGAAGTCAGTTTCGGTCCAGCTGGCACCACATGGCATTTACGAGTTTCCATTGCATCCCGTAGCATCAGCTTTATCCAAATGTACAGGGTTGTGTCCATTGTGAGAACTTTAACAAACAATGAGAGAAAATGCAATACAGGATGACAAATGTTTAAGACAAAACAGAAAGCCCTAAAGCCAGAGGACAGCCAATGAGGACATAAATATCTTTTTGAGACTGACCTTACCCAGGCTTCACATTTGTAAGTACAGCATCAAAAAGTTTTAACATCCCATTGATATCTATTTTATTATATATTAAATTACATCTGTTTACCTTTTGAAAGTCATATCATTTTATAACCCCATAGATTAAAACAAGATTTTCCTGTAGAAAAACAAAACCTGTCAAGAGGTAAGGAGGCTTTAGGTGTGTTTGCTTCTCTCTGCAGTTATCTGCACAAAACGGTCTGATCTGGAAAAGTCTCAAACTGTACTAAATAATTCCTGTCAATAGGTCCCAGACACACAAAGGAGGAACAGAACAGAATTGTCTTTTGCTTCTGCTGTCTGATATTATGCTTTAAAAGACATTAAAAATGAGCAGAGCCCTGTGGGTTTCTGACTTTAGGAAAGAAGAGCCTTAAAGGTGATGTAAGCCCATCTTACAGCAGATGTGCCTGCCCTGTGCAAGCCTTGAGCTCAGGATTCCATCATCAAGGTCAACCATTGTCAGCAGATACATGAGCAGCAGCTAACTAGCCAGGCAACAGAGCTAGTGGCAACGATGCCGGGGTGTTTTGAACCCAGAACAGGACAGGAGGGAGGGAGATCTGTCCAGTCATTTTTGCTGGTCTCCAGGGCCAATTATATCAATTTGTTTTTTTAGAATCTTACTTATCCTATCTATCTGACCTGAGCTTTGAGGTTGGTAAGCTTAAGTTCCAATTGATCCCCAATGTCTTGGCCACACCCTAACTTGCCTGGGCAACAAAGGCAGGCCTATTATGGGACATGATTATCTTGGCCATCCCAAACCTTAGGATGATTTTTTTTTTTTTTTGATCTTCTTAGCCATTACATTGGGTGTCTCAATCTTGGTCAATGTATGATGGCTATCTTCTTTGGCAAATGCGTGGCCTCCTGGAGGCTCAAAATTTCCGCAGATGTCAACAGTCCTTTTTGTCTGTATATTGCTTTATATATATATATATATAGGTGAGGGCAAAAGCATACCTGCTGTTAGTATAGACGTTCCCTCTGCCATCTGTAGAGCTTGTATCAAAGCCACAAGTTCAGCGTTCTGGTCGGGCCACCATCCCTGAAGGGAGGCTACTGGCCCAGATCATTTGCTTCCTGTCCACCAATGTTGCCCCCGCCTTCCGCTTACCTTCGGTCTTCTGTACCTGCTTAGCTCGGACCGCCAGCCTTGTACCCCTGGCAAGCTTCACCCTCATTTTCGGCTCTGCCTGGCACAGCTTAGCCTGCCATTTTGCCATTCGCCTGTCCTTTAGGCAGATGCTGGTAGGATCCATAGTCCATCGACGTCAGCCCAGCACAGGAGCAGTAGTCTGGCACAGGAGGGCACCTGTGGTAGCATGGTGACTGCTGTATCGCAGTCTGACATGGGTGAGGGGAGCAAGACTGTAGAGTGAGCAGTCAGGGCTCATGCAGGCTTTAGAGCAAGCACAGCATCAAGGCAGTTGCTAGGAGGTGAGGATTTCTTCAGCGGTGAAGGCAGGAGAGGTGGTCGTCCTGGTGAGGAGGGCGTGGTAGAGACAGAGGCAGACAAGCAGCCTGTGTCTCCTGCAGAACTGAAAACAGCAGCGAAAGCAAAAGTCCCTCGTTTGGTCAACAAAAGGCTTTGGTCATACATTCAGAAGTGACCAGGGAGGAACGAGTCATTTATTTATCTTTTTCCCAAATTTATAGTTCGTAAGGTGTCCAGTTTGTATTCTTTACTCAGTTCCAGTGTCCCTCTTTATCTGTCTTTGATCTTCTGTTGCCCAGGCTCCTAATCTGTCTGAGTCCTATCTTTCTTTTGCTTCCCGCCTCTCTCTCTCTCTCTCTCTCTCTCTCTTTTTTTCTCTTTCTCTCTCTCTCTTTCTCTCTCTCTCTCTTTTTCTCTTTCTCTTTTTTTTTCTCTTTCTCTCTCTCTCTTTTTTTTTGTGGCTACTGCTGTCTGCTGACCTTCAGAGGTTGGGTAAAATGCCTGTAAACTTTCATTAATCATTTAAGGAACACAGATTTTAACTGGCCCCTGGAGAACCTCTCTTATCTCGGCCGAATTAGTGGGGTGCCTTGCAGCCCCCGCCTGAGATTTGCCATGAGCCCAGCATTTTGACTGTCAGTTTCTCCCTTTAGAAGAATGAAGATAGATCCATATTTTTCTCTATGCACAAAACTGAAATCCAAACAAATTAAAGACCTTAACATAAAACCAACAATATTGAACCTTTTATAGAAGGAAAAAAGTTTAAAATTTATTTTAGCAAAGGATATAATCAACAGAACGTAATATCAACCTGTAGAATGGGGAGGTATCATGAGACATATAAGGAACTTAGGAACTTAATCCTCATTAGTACAATTACGTCACAGACCAAAACTGTAAATTCTCAACAAATGAACTTGAAGTGACTGAAAGATATTTAAAATTTGTTTAAATACAACATCCTTAATCATCAGGGAAGTGCAAATTAAACAATTTTGAGATTTTATCTTATTCTTGTAAAACTGACCAAGATTAAAAATATCATTTGACAATTTATGCTTACAGCTACTTTGAACATTAGCATGGTGGACTTTCAAAATTAGATAACATATTACCTTAAAAACTTAGCGACATCCTTTATATTATCATTGACAGAATCTGAAAACAACTCAAAATGCACCTTTTTTATATTAATAATAAATGAGAATCTTCGCCATGTTTTTTTTTTTTAATAGCCATAAACATTATAAAGAGTCAAAAGGACCATTTTAACTCAACCTCATCATTTAGTAACACCCCCTTTGCCATTGTAGTGGGGTGAGAGGCTTTAGCAGATCTTTGTCTTGTGGGGCAACTCAGGGCCCCCACCTTATCACAAGCATTGTGAGCAGACAAGTGTTAAATTCACATCTAAACATGGGCTGGCTTAGAAGCTCAGCTGGGCTGTTCATATGGCCCCGGCCCTGTGCCAGGC